CACTTGTTACTAGTAGCGATGCACTTGTTACTATAGTAGCTTCTTGTCTCCCGCATCGGGAGTCCGAGCCCTCCAAAGAGCATTCCGGCCACAGCGGCCACCAAAAACCTCAGACGCTCTCCGTCCAGGTCGTCGGGCCGATCGCTGGGTGACACCGGGTCGTGACCGGGCCACTTTCGGTCGATCCGAATCGGTCGTGACCAGGTCGTTCATTGGTGACATCGATGTCGTGCTCCCTATGTTCCATCGAATTACCAGTGATGTCCTTTACTCTCATTCCCCCCACTTCTAACCCCAAAAGTTCGAGTGGGTAGTGAAGGTTAATCTGAACACTATGAGCGGTTCTTATCCTGGTGGAAGGGTGAATATGGCCGAAATCAAAAGAAACATCCTTCGAATATGAAGACACAAAATAATAGCCATGCCATCGCTAGTGCGACCGTCTGCTCGGTTGACCAAACCCTGTAACAAGTCCAACTCCCAACCAAGGCAAAACACATGCAGGGATCTATCAAGCGCATCCGGATCAACTCTCCGAACGTGTCTCACTCCTGTGTGTGGCCACTCCCGTGTCTCCATCCTTTTGCGATTGAAGAGGTGCTGGTCCCCGGCTCGTGCCCTTCCCAAAAGGAAGTGCACGGCTCACGCCCAGCCGGGCCTTCAAGTGATACGAGACTGTGGCTTCAAGCCGACCAGACGAATTGTCGATTGGATCACCAAGCCGACCACGCATTGGATCGATTTTTACCTACTCACCTGATTCATTGTGGGAATACTTCTCGCCGCACCGAAGGGGTCCATCAAAATAGAAAGGAGGAAGTCGGAAGGTGAAACGAGTTGATGTCCAAACACCGTTCCAGGGCTTCGTTTCCGTCCCGTAAATGGTACGATCGTCCCTATTCGCAAATAATATCGACTTTTCAAGACAGACTATGCGCAACCAGTGCAAAAGGGTGAAAGCAGCGGGCCTCGCAGGCCTTTTCAATTCAAGACACCACTCCGACAACCGGCCGTAAAAAGTTGAAACTGATCTGGCCATGGGTCAAAACTGGGAGACTCTGAATGGTCTACCTGGGAAGTCGTGAGCTCCAGGCTCCAGGTGGTCTTCCACCTACGGACATGTGCCTTCCGGTGTGCGCTTGCGAGAGGTGCTTCTCTCTTTGTACTGCATTGATGTGTCACATCTTGATGTGCCATGCTTTGGGTGATCCTGGTGTGAGACATGCTACTTGGCCGCTCAGGCAGAGATGGGGTAGGTCGCCGCGACGTAAAAAAATGCTCAGATGGTCTGTGGAGTTGCTAAATGGAAACTTCTCCAAAAGAAATACCTCTTCGAGACAAAACCACGCCAAATCTTATCCGAGCCGTACCCAAATGGACTGGAGCTGGACTTCAACCCACCATGCAGGATTGGGGGCTCAACTCGCCTTAGGGGGCTTCAGAATTGTCGTTTTCAGTCTTCCCCTTTTGGGCCTTCCAAGCTGTCGTGTGGGGCTGTGGGCTTCAAGAGGGAATGATCTTTCAGAACAGATCCATCAGCGGGGTTTGGAATTGTGACACCATTACATATATTTATATTGATGGTTCACAAAGGGTATCAAGATTCACCTGCTCAGCAATTCAAAAGAACACAAAACTGGCCACTTACATGACATGCCATACAAGAAGGCATCCTCTCCAAACCCGTGTAGTCGCGGCAAGCACCCATCTTCACGTGCCTTCGGGTCGCTGTGGACGCAAAACCATGACGGTTTGCAAGCTAGTCAATCCTACCAAAGACTCCTTCTTTAAGGTTAAAGCCCACGAGGTCTCCGTGAACATTCCAACAATGAACAGAACACTGGTTTTGGTGCGGTTGGTCTTGACTTAAACCCAATGAACTTGTGCTATTGGAACATCACTTTCTTGCTCTTGCTCTAAATAGGATCCAAACACGGATTTGTGTGTAAAATTACATTGATTTGGCTGGGTCTTTGAGAGGGTTCTCCGACGATCTGCGGACTGTTCTGTTCTGACTTGGAACCACAGATATGATATGTCAGTGCTTTCCATTTAGCACCGTTTGGCCAACAAGCCACGCCCCCTTTTCGGAGACCAGCTTCGAAAGACCGCCTGCGATCAACGCGTCAACCATGAGATTGGTGTGAAACGTTTCTTCAGCCGCTCAGTGCGAATCTGGCGAACGGCGAACGGTTGTTCGTCCCGGGCGGCTGTCATGGTCGTCCCAGTTTAAGGAAGCGATCTGAACTTGCGGAATTCCTGACTCTGATTGCCAAAGCTCCTAAGATCTAAGAGTTAAAAAACGACATAAAACCTGGTAACTGCCCATTCAATTGAACCTGGGTCTCAAAATCATTCCCCCAGAACCATGAGGAAGCAGGCCACGAATCCGGTTGGAAATTTGCCACACGGTTCTGGATAAGGACTCATCCGGATGGATAAGGATGAATGGTTCTGGTATGTTCTGGTCGATCCAGTGGTCGATCCATCTGCCTTTCGGATCCCGTTCACGTGTCTGCCGCCCCGTTCGGAGCCCCGCCCCACCGGGCGGACGGACGAACGGCCGACCCGACCCTCTCGAAGGTCCCGAGCGCCTCAGTCGAAGCTCAGGGATCCGGACCTGTCGCATGACCCGAGTCGCGAGTCGAGTCGCGGAAAGGACGTCATTGGAAAGTCGGGGAGGAAAGAAAGTCGACCCGAGACCCTCAATCACATTCAACCACAAACCACCGGAATTGGGGGTGGAATATGATTGAGACAGAAGCTGGTGGATGTTATTCTGGTGAACCATTGCACGCCACCAAAGCCTTGGGATCGGCGTCTTCATGAACTGTTGAGGAACATGAAGAGCTCGCTTTGACCAGCATCCTCGTGCACCAAAACATGTGCACCTGTTCACCATTCATGTAAATCCCACACTGTGTTTGCTGCAGACTTCCTGTGTACAACTCACATGGAAATGGTTAGGTGAGGAGTCCAAGTTAGGCCATGTTCCATGTCGGATCTCAACGACAGTGAACCCCATCCACAAAGGATTCCACCGCCACGCCGTTGGCTTTTGGAGATGCCCGTTTGCAAGATGTATATTTTAACCAGACGCTTTGCAAATGATTTTGTTTGTTCAAATTCCAGGGTGGTGTTCTGTTGTCAGTTCTGGTCAGTTCACCACTGGATCCGTGTCAAAAATAAAGAGGTGTTGCTTGCTTCCAAAATGGTCAGGGTCAGCAGCACAAAGCCCCGGAAGTGTGTCTCCTGAAGAGTTCAAGCTTCTTGCAAGCAGAGCCAGAGCTCGTAGTAACAAGAAGCTACTAGGAACAAGTGCATCGCTACTAGTAACAAGTGCCTTACTAGTAGTAACAAGAAGCTACTAGGAACTGCTTCTTATTGTTTCTTATAGCTTCTTCTTACTGCATGGAGCTCGAAGCAAAGCCGCTCGAGCTCCAACGACTCGAAGTGAAGCGACTCGTGGTGTCGTCCATCCCACGCCACGAGTGGTGCCATTTTTGCCGCCTCCAAGTTCACTACAAGTAAGGCACCTGTTACTACTAGCGTGGCACTTGTTACTACTAGCTTCTTGTTTATTAAGGGGCGGAGTGAAAATCTGCAAAAGAACTGCCAAATCGTCCGATCCTTCTCGTCTTCTCGTGTGTGTAGGGCCTGGGAGGCGCATTCACCGAGCGGATGTTGAACTTAGCCTTCCAAAATGGCGAGTCGATGGAGATCTTCTCCTGCATAACGCCATTGGAGATGGCGGGTGGGTCGGAGTTTGGGCCGCCATATGTCTGGCAACAGAAAACCATATACTGTATGTTGGAATATGTTGGATGGCTTCTTTTGCTATCCCAACACAATTGCATCTGTGGAGTATAATGATCCTCCAGAATATCGCTAAACTTGATCGATCCTTTCGGCGATCGTGCATACATCCCTGGTTGCCACGGAGATGATGCCGGAAAAATGAAATAAACATAGCCACGGCTGCTGGTGACTTCAACCCACCCGAGAAAAGCGAGTCATTGTAAGATTGGCACGGATGAACGTTGAACATGGTTGAACAACAAAAACAACCTGTTCAAACCACATCAAAAAGAACCAAAAACTGGTGCTCTTCGTTGTCCTTCGTCTGCTTCTCCATCGTCTTCCGGAGGTCTTCCAAATCATTCTCCTGCGACGTGACTTTCACGACTCAACCGCTGTCGTCGGATATGGAAAACTTCCATTTCAAGACTAAGTATATGCCAAGTCCGTGGAGGCCAAGTCCGTGGAGGCCAAGTCCGTGGAAGTTTTCCATCATATCTGTGGAGGCCAAGTCCGTGGACCGGGGTCTAGGACAACTTCAGCAGAGAGGCTCCCTCAGCGTGCAGGTGGAGTTGTCGACACTACGTGTCGTTGCACTCGATGAACAAAATCCAAGCAGCAATCTCAAGTCACCAGGATGAATCTGATTCCAGCTGTTCTTCCATGTGCCGCCACTCTTTCTGGCTCAAAACGGCGAACAAGCCGCAAGACCAGCAACTCACTCACGCGTTTGGTCGCCACCGAGTGTGGTCGCCACCCGGCGTCCAAATTCGGCACCGGTTTTTTCAGTTGTGCTGCGGATCCCACTTCAGCGGGCGGTGGGAGAGCTTCAGACACCAGGGCCACCAGACTCACGCCACCTGTGAGCCCGTTGCCGGACCCGCGTGGCTTTCCTTTCGAAGTCCCTGTCATGTTTGCGTCCTGCGGCCCGGCGCTGTGTGCGTGGCGTCCGCCATGCTTTCTCCGACCGAAACTGCTTGGAACCGAGTCCACCATGTTCCCAAGCAGGATCGGAGCATTGCCCAAGCAGGATCGCCGCAGCGAAGCTCTGCTGCCAGGCAAAACAATGCCACCATCGTGGTCCGGGCCACGGTCCATTACTAGCAGCTTCTTGTTACTACCGTAGTAGTAAGAATGCAGCTAGTAGCGATGCCAGGAGCCCCGTTCGTAGCGTCCTTGCACCTATAGTAAGGCCAGGAGCCTCTAGTAGCTTCTTGCTCCTACGCATCAACTATAGTCAGTATGAACTAGCGGATCCCTGGAACACTGAACTTATGGAACAAGTCAATCACTTGAGCGAATTCACCAAAGTGGATTCTGAATTCCAATCCACCATTTCTTATGGAGAGCTCAGGAGCCCGGAAATCCGGCGCCTTCTTGATGGTTGCCTTGATGGAATCACATCTTTCATAGATCTCCTTGATCTGCTGCTCGTACATGTCCTGGCTAGCCGCATCCTATCTCTCCCCCGAAAATCCAGTGACAACTTTGGACATGCCGTGGCTGCGTCACTGTGTCGCCTCTCAGTTGTTAGATGGTCAATCTCCGCGAAACCACAAAAGGGCGACCTGGTGGAGGGTGACCACTGCTCCGCACGAGGAAACCGCTCGGAGCAGTGGTTGGGCATCACTCGATGTTGCTGCAATTGTTCATGGTCTCCATGTGAACTTTCACGGTCTCACCAAGAATCGAAAGAAAACCCAGCGAGCGGTGTTGCCACCGTCCCCATTCTAAAAGAAGAACGGAGAGCAAAAAGAAAGTCATGTGGTGAGCTCACCCCTGCTCAGGTGGGGTTGGATAGCAGAACGTGGAGATCCGTGAGAGGGTCTTTTGAAGCAACCTGATCATCATCATAATACTTATCAGTTCCCAACTGCAGCATCTCTGGAGATATAAAGTCCTCGTAAAAACGATGCAAACGAGTGGCTGTCATCCACCCAAATCTAGCTATTCGAGGTCATCACTTCCACCTGTTGAGTGGGTGACCAGTAGGCACTGATGTGCTGCCTCCAGGCGAGACTTTGCCATCTGCAGCCCAAAGGGTAGACGCCCTCTGCGGTTCCCTCTTCCAGAGGTCACCCTGTTTTCCTACTTCAGTATGCAGCGCACACCCAAATTCTCCAAATTATGCATCCGGGGCTTTGTAATGACCCATTTGGAATGACACTCCAGCCCGGATGACTTGCCGAGAATGACTCCGTTCGAAAAACACCGAGCGGAGCCCGCGAAGCCCGCGTTGATCTCGGCACAGCGCACCTTCTGCTGCTGGAGTTCCAAGAGCTGCTTCATGCAGGAGTCCACCTGCTTCAAGCTCTTGGAAAGTGATACCAAAAAAATCCCTTGTGGGGCTTCAATCGTGGACAAAGGGCTGGATTGGCCTTTGATCTGGTCCAGTGTTGATCGCTAAAGCCGAATCGAAAAGATCATACACCAAAGGATCCGCGGCTAGTTTCAGCCATGCTTACCTGCAAAAAAACACCAGACTCATGGGTTTTCTTGCAAGACACCCATCATGTGGTCTTTGAGGAGGGCCAAGGAAGGAGAACAAACAAACAATGGATCTCAAAATATGCCACATGCAACTCACAGTCACCCATCCACTCACCCGGCAACTGGTTCACTTCGACGCCTCCTTCTTCATCATGTCCTCGGTCTTCTGAGGACACTTGTTGTGTGGCAAGGTGGCTAAGCGATGCTCCGCCGTCAACAAGCCCTTGTAGGTGTTCCGCCACCTGAAAAAAGAACATCGAAGGTGCCAAACTCCGACCCTCCAAGAGGTGTTTTGCAGGAGGAGTTTGGCGACCCAACTTCGTCATTTGAAGCAGCGTCTGGCTTTTGAACCTGGTTTGCCAGCCACCCTACTGCGTGTTTAGTAACCCTAGTTCTCAAAGGTCTTGCTCAAGCGGTGCTTGCTGAGGGAAAAGAAGGAGAAGAAGAAGAAGAATTTTGCCAGCATAGACCCAAGATAGCAACAAGGTTTCTGTGGGCAGCACGCACTGCGCAGGGGTACCATGCAGCGCCCTCCAGCGGTGCCAGCGCCCGGGCTTCCAAGCGCACAGGGCCAAAAACACCCTGCAGCGGCACCCTGCAGCGGCACCAGCACGCAAGCTCCAAAACGCAAACATCTCTTCCTATACTGGAACAGCAGCGGCACCCTGCAGCGGCACCAGCACCCAGGTTCGAAAACGCACACATGCAGCTCTTCCTATACTTGAAGTAAAAACCCCAATAGCTCATGCTATCTGGTGAAAAAGAAGAAAAGGACAAAGCTCACGAAACGTGCTGAGCCACAATGCCAGCAAGAAGTTTGTTATATGAAGGAAAGAAGATATTGAAAGTGCGGCAAGCGGGATTGTTTGTGGCAGCGGTTGAATAAATAGTGGTAGTTTAATGTTGTTTAACAGATTGTGTACAGTGTACAATTGATTCTTGATTCAAGCAAAGTTGGGTATTGGAGCACGGTCAGGGTTCACGCTCAAACCAGGGTAAATTTAAAGGTCAGAGGCCCCATCAGAGATATCATATGTTTAAAAAACTGAAGCGATGGCCTCCAAGCTAAGAGCGATGGCCTCCAACCTACTAGCGATGGCCTCCAACCTAATAGGACAAAACATACATCTTATTCATTACTCTCTGGAGTGTCATGAACCACCCCTGCTAGATCCGGTGTTGCCTTTGGAAGACAACTCCTCAGCCATCAACTCCATTGGCATCGATCAAACCACCCATTTCAACAGGGCCCGTGGCCCAGTCGCCCAATGGCGCCCCGATGTCCAGCTGTTGGCATCCGAACCCATCAATCGAAAGTGGCAGCCGATGCTCGCTTGGAAGACTATGTTACTATGTTCTTCTACAAACAGGATCAAAGAGGGTGGTATCCGCCAAAGGAGTGTGGTGGTTGCATGGAGAGTTGGGCAGTGCAAGGTCTTGCAGCTCTGAAGGCCCCGCCCCTTTGCTGACTTCGAGATCCGTGAAACGGACGGTGGTGAATCACGGAATCACCTGGACAAGATCAGTCTTCGTAACGAATCCAATGGACACCGGCGCGGATCTTCCAACCCATCCTCCAAACAGACTAGGAAAGAGAAGGCCATGTGATTCTCCCAAGTTCGGTTGATCTCATGAGACTCTGGACCCACCTATTGAAGCACGATCGGCCGGTCCCACGGAATCCAATCCCTCAATCCCTCCGAAGCACGTGTAGTCAATGATCTGCTGATCATAGTGCAATCGGATCAACTTCTGCGACATCTGGGCGCACTCCTCGCGTGCACGCCAAGGACGGCAAGCAATTTGCTCCATCTGTTCCGAAGGAACTCCGCTTCTAGCGATATCATCCGGTCCCCGCATAGGTCTGCTTGCCTATTTCAGGTTTGGTGCAAATTGTCAAGCACAAAGCTGATGCGACAGATTCTCCAAAGGGCCCAGGGACAACCAGGACCCTGATGCATCCATGTTCCGCAACAACTCCAGCGGCGACGCCGGACAGACTCCTTGATGTAGCGCGGATCATCGATGTCGATCATACCTCGCGTAGGGGGGCTGCTTCACCCCGCAGCGAATCCCAAGGAATCCGAAGGAGGCTCAGGTATCTGAAGCAGAAAACACATGAAACAATGTTGTTTACTCGTTGGGAAGGACCTGAGGACTGGGGTGTGTGTGTGTGTGTCACACCCTGTTTCTAAGGGTTTTCCAATCACTCCCACTTTCCACACAAGCAGGGGGATGGAGAGGACATGTGAGGCTCCATCCAACGAAGCTCCTCACATGATCCTAGGATATCGGCAAGGACGCTTGCCGACGTACCTGCGCCAAACTTTGATCAAGCTGTTCCACTCTCGGTTCGTTTGCATGGTGGTTCATGATACCTCCCCCAAACATACTCGTCCCCAGCAGCTGCGCCGCCGGTCTGATTGCTGCCGCTTTGTGACAACAATGTTAACTTTTTCAAGTGATCGGACCCACGCACCTTTCCGTTCCCTCACCTTCCTTCCCATCGTGGCAATTGAGTTAACTGAAAACAAATGTCAGAGTGTGAGCCGCTCAGTCTTCCCACTTGGGTGCTGGGTGTGACCCTCCGAAAGGAGGCGCCGAAACCATTCCGGATTTCACTGGCCCTTCATATTTATAACTGTCACCCTGGTCGTTCATTTCTATCACTGGATTAACGGATTTTCGAGCCGCCGGGCTGTAAACGATGGATTCCCTTGTGATTACCTGATTCATTCCGTCTTGCATTGTCATGACGTTGTGTACTGCATTTCCCAACTTTTTAACCCGCAGCCATTTGATCAGCTTCCACATGTTTTACACCACTCTGCATTGCATTTCATGCCATAAGATCACCTCACCTTTCCTCACTGCAGATCCACCAGAGCTCAGAAAAAAGGTCCGTTTCTCCACTGCTCTGCATTCGCGCCGAGTTCGGCTTTTTGTGTGTGTCACACCCTGTTTCTAAGGGTTTTCCAATCACTCCCACTTTCCACACAAGCAGGGGGATGGAGAGGACATGTGAGGCTCCATCCAACGAAGCTCCTCACATGATCCTAGGATATCGGCAAGGACGCTTGCCGACGTACCTGCGCCAAACTTTTGATCAAGCTGTTCCACTCTCGGTTTGTTTGCATGGTGGTTCATAATACCTCCCCCAAACATACTCGTCCCCAGCAGCTGCGCCGCCGGTCTGATTGCTGCCGCTTTGTGACAACAATGTTAACTTTTTCAAGTGATCGGACCCACGCACCTTTCCGTTCCCTCACCTTCCTTCCCATCGTGGCAATTGAGTGAACTGAAAACAAATGTCAGAGTGTGTACCCTCTGTCAACACAGTCAACTGTTCGACGTCTCTCCCAAACCCTCGACGAAATGACAATATATCATATGGCACTACAAAGAAGATCATGAAGGCACTTGTTACTAGTAGCTTCTTGTTACTAGTAGCGATGCACTTGTTCCTAATAGCTTCTTGTTGCTACTAGTAAGGCACTAAGGTGGTTCTAAAGGTCGAAAATAGGAACATCGGGCTGGAGGCCCCAACCCTGAAACTCCAGGGACTCGTCTCTCAAACGCGAGGTCAATCCGAAGCACCGGAAATACGAGCTGCAAGCGGCTTGGGGGCCAAGAAGAAGAACCAAAAAGAAGAAGAAGAAGAAGAAGAAGAAGGAATTGGATCCTTCGTGGGATCGACTTTGGAATTTTGGTGAGTCAACCAAGGGTGGCGAGTTTCTTTGGCACGCTTCTCCTCAGATAAGCGGCTATAGCCATATTTCTCCTTGCCGAACATCTTGGGCAGGGGCCAGTTGATCTGACTGTAGTCCTGCATATGCATCTGGTCAGCGATCCAAGTTCGGTGCCTAACTGGAAAAGAAACAACTGTGTAGCTTATGTTGCGGTGGAACATCTGGCCCACAATTTTGTGTCAACAAAAACAAGACCGACCACAGGAGCGAGACTCTGGACGAACTGTATATGGAATATCCAGAGAATGTGCCTGTTAACATGGCCCTGCCATAGCAAAAGCCCATACTAGATGATTTCTTGGGCTGCAGCCCGTAGCGAGCCATGGCTTCCACCCTATAGTAGCGGTGGCCTCCACCCTGGTAGCGATGGCCTCCCCAATGTGGTAGCGATGGCCTCCACCCTCGTGGCCTCCACCCTAGTAGCGATGGCCTCCAACCTACTAGCTTCTTCTTGTTCTATGAATTGTAAAAGTCATTCTCCCATCACGTCGAGGAATTCATTCGCCATTTCATGTCGTACATTCTAGTCTCGGTTTGAACCGACCTATTCGCACAAATATTCGCACAGACCTCCAAAAACCCACCCTTGGACACTCGGCCGGTTCCTCAGCCAACCAACCATGCAAGTTTCCCGTGCTGGAAGGCAGCTTCCTCGGAAACGCAGGCTGCATCACAACAACTGTTCAGCTTCCTAGGTTGCTTGAGAGCTACCTCAGCGTCTTTTTGAGACCCAGTGAGTCTGACTTGGGGTCCTTCAACCGGTTGCGGAAAGTCATCCGTCTATAGTAATAGAGTCTGGAAACAACCTATAACCTGTCGAGCACAACACTCTGTATTCATCCAAGGATGCGCATTCGCCATCACAGCTAGTGCAGGGCATCACGAACCCAGCTCGAACGCTCGAACGCCGCGCGTGTGTGGGGCAAAGCTCTGGGGTCGCGAGCCCGAACGGCCAATGGTGCAAAGCTCTGCCGTTCAACAAAGGGACGTCAAGCACTGCTACCAGATCGAGAGGCCCTGGGTGAAAAGACTCAGTAAGAGGGCGCCTTAGATTTCTCAATCCACACCCACTTTGACATGACATATCATTCTGTGACAAATCACCTGATCGCACATGACATGGGACTTTTGCTGAGTCTCCCTCCTCTTTGATGTTGTGACTTCTCCCATATCCTTCGGCAATCAGCCCTAAAGATCCATTTGCCTATCCATCCCTCCATGTTCTTCCGACTCACCCGGCAAAGCCGTCCAAATCTGTTTCCAAAACCGTGCCTGATGGTCGGTCACTGATACTCATCCCTTCTTACAGAGGCCACAACCATCATGTTAGATTCCATTCCATTCGGCCGGTACCAGCATATCATCTGGGCTTCCTCCACAAAAACGAAAAGAAAACCAACTGCCCACGGAGCAAATAAGTGAGTAGTACTTGTGGACGGTGTCATCCGGTCTCATCCGGTGTCGTCCAAGGCTCCGGAACTTGGTGAGGTTTGTGACGTTGAGATACTTCGGGAGCTTTGGCATCTCATGATCCTCGGAACGTTGCGCTGGAAAAAAAAGGGTCGACGAAGGTGCAGGTGTCCGGAGCGCAAGGTGGGATTTCTCTAGGCGTCGAGGAGATGTTGCATCTCAGTAGTTCGGAAGTTTCATGGAAAGACTCCAACTTTGAGTGGATTCTGCACCAAATCTGACCCCAAACGGCTGTATTTTGAAGATTCAAAACACACAGTCATGGTACTCTCCCACCCCTTCAGATCTGGGTCACTTCCCCAAGTAGTTAAGATTGTGTAATAGACTGGAAACACATAGTGTGGACAAACTGCCCAAAGGTTGAGTTCTATGTCTACTCTTCTATTCTCATCGCTACCTTTTCCTAAAGGTCTTAGGCAGACCTTCTTTTCTCCCTTCTAGTAGCAAGAAGCTACTAGTAGCAAAGGGCAATTCTACTAGGAGCAAGGACGCTACTAGTAGCTCCTGGCCATACTACTAGTAGCAAGAAGCTACAAACGGAGCAAGGGCATCGCTACTAGTAAAGGGCATTGCTACTAGTAGAATTTTTGCTCCTAGTAGCGCTAGTAGCGATGCCAGGAGCTACTAGTAGTATTCTTGCTAGTAGCAAGAAGCTACCGCACTCCGAGTCTCTGCGGCCATCGGACTGGTGATTGTGGCCTGGCATCCGGATCCGGTGGCGTCGGACCGACGCCCAAGTTGACGCTGTAACAAGTGCATCGCTAGTAGTAACAAGTGCCTTACTACTAGTAACAAGAAGCTATTATTTTATTTTAAATTTTAGTTTAATTCTAATAGCAAACATTGTTACTACTAGTGAGGCACTTGTTACTACTAGCGATGCACTTGCATCCTAGTAGCTTGGGAGTGCACCTGGTGAAGATTGAGAAAGGAACGGAGGAATCCCATGTCCTTGCGACTTACCACCGCGACCAGGCACAGAACTTGTGCAGGGTTCAAGATTCGGGAGAATGGACAAGTGTATGGTGACATTCCAAGCAAAGGATTCCAAACCCTTTTTGACTTCGCTGTATGCTTGCACAAGAAAGGAAGGTGTTGCGCTCACTCCAAGAAGTAGGGGGTGACTTCTCCAGTTGCTGCTGGCTAATGGTTTTGTAATTCATTCTAAAATGCCAAACAACACCCATTCAGGTCCGAAGGTCATGCGCCTTCACCCCCTAAAGGTCCTTGGAAGCTGAAGGTACTTCTCAGACGGACTCCGATCGGACTCGAGATCGACCCCCTAAGATGGACTCACATGCACATCCTGACACATCACCAAAAGCGGGTTGTTCATCTGAAGGAATTTCCATGTGGTCGCAGGTAGGTCAGTACATCGTTTGTCGAAACATGGCGAAAGGCAACTCTTCGAAAGGTTCGAAATACATGTGGTTTCTGGCAAATCTTTTGACCAACACCATATGCGCTTTGTCCTCAAGGTTGCTTCCAACCCTACAAGCCCAGCACAGCATGAACCGCTCGTGTCAAGCGTCGTACACCAGAGACTGTCAAGGCCCATTCGTTGGAAAAAGATCGTGATGAGAGACCTACAATCCCATCAAACACTCCAAGATGTTCCTGGTGTGGAAATCCAATTGTTCCACGGAGTCCGCCACTTTTGACCAGCCGGAGGACATGGTGTGAGATAGAGGAACATGGTCCTTATGCAGGCTATCTACGGGGTCCATGTGGTTTTCCGGGAATGGCAACACTGGTTCTTATGCCTGGTCTTCAGGACAAGGAGGAAGAAATCCTGCACATCTCAAACTCTAAAACAATGGTCTGATGCAGGATCAATTCCTTCACCAATAGGACAAGTTTCTTTCTCAAAAATGTTGCCCAACCCCATCAAACTCGGGAGCGAACAATCCCCGCAGAATAACATCGCAATAAAAGGTTGACTGTATATAAAGAACCTGCCGACACTGTAGTGACTTTTCCACCTCTTCTACGGACAAAACCCCCGAACGCACGTTCCATGCAAATGGACTAATAGTGACTAACCCCCCACACGGTGAACATGAATTGGAGTGCACATCCCACGAAAGGCAGTCAAAGTGTTGTTTTGAAAAACCAAAGCCCTGGTCCATCCTGGTCCCCCTTTTTTCAGGGTCGGCAGTCGGCAGGGTCCCAAAGGAAGTGGACGCCAACAAACTGACCAAACTGTTTCACCGTTCGCTGCTGCGCCTGACCGGTCTTCTGCAGCGTTCCACTGCTGTAACTCTTCCGCATGGTGCCGGTGCTCCTGGGCCGTTCAGCCCGCCCCTCGAGGGGTTCGATGTGTGTGTGTTTCAGCCGAGGCACTGCGGTGATGCCCCAGGTGAGCCCATCTTCGCAGACCTGCCACCAGGACGCTGCAGCAGGGTGTGTTGTCTAACAATACCGCAATATTCCACTGGCGTTTCTCCACCACCCGGTGCTTTGGACCTCTGCGAAAAGCAAGAGAAATGGTCCACCACGAGCTGCACAAATCACCAAAAAGCGCCGACTTTCCGAGGGCTGCCACTTAGTTTGCAAAGAAATGATCCCACCAATGACGTCGTTGTGGCGCAAAACCATCAATCCGCCAGGGCACGCTAGCTGTGGGGATTACTGCTCTAGAACCCCAGAAGTTCGTTTCAACGTGGGGTATCGGTGCAATCAGCGCAAAAAGAAATGAAGAGTCCGGCAGTCCGGCGGCCCAACGCCTTGAGTGATTGAATGTGATTGAATCTGCATCAGCAACTCTTGAGGTTGCAGGTGGAGTGGTGCTCTCCCACCGGCTCCGCCATGCTCCGCCATGCTCCGCCATGCTCCGCCATGCTCCGTGCTCCATCTCCCATGACCCGGCTTCGGATCGTCCAGGTCGGAAGGTCCATCTCTTCGAGCTGTACCCGAACAGAGCGCCGTACGTAGCGGCCGGAGCGCTTCGAGTCCCAGCCCGAAGGTCGCGAGGTCGGTGGGTCGGGAGTACGCGAGGTCGGTTGGGGAAGCTCTGTCGCTCCGGTGTGCCGGAGGGCTCTTCGGTTGAAACCTCCACGGCCGAGCATTCTGCAGTCGGACCTGCAGTTGGCTTGAGGTTAAGGACGCAAATCAGACCTCACACGGATCTATGCAGCAGAGCTCCTCTTTCGCTACTCTTGTAACAAAGGGCATCGCTACCAGTACTAGGAACAAGGACGCTACTACTAGCTGACAACTCCTTGGCGCCGGTTGCCATCGCAAACGCATTGCTCAGCGGAGCTGTGCTGACTTAAAACCAGATCAGTCTAAGCAAAGAAACCCCAGGGGACCTTGTAGCATTGTCCAAACACTGTCTGTGGAATTGGATGCAGAGCCATGTGAATCGACTATTAGATGATTTCAAACCCTCTTTTGGGCGGACTATTTGCATGAAAAAGAAAGTGGTTTCAAAAAAAAGAGGCGGATGAGCAGGCCACCTTAAACACCTCGAACAACCACACACACAAACAAAGCTACAGGCAGTAGCTGTGCGCGAAACGAGTCTTTTCATCGGACAAAAACGGTCACCCTAGTCTTCCCAGGAGAGAATTGGTGCACCTAGTCTTGATGATCACTATGCCTAGCAAAACAAAGGTGGTTTTGGGAAAGACCATGGAAACAATGGGTTGCTGGAATTTAAACTTATCCCACACAAAGCACCCCTTCTCCAACCTGCTACCCTCTTCTACCCTCGTTCACCCTCGTGCCCCAGTGCCAAAGGAGTCGCAACCGATCGACGACCATCGGTGCCAGAAACAGGTACCCCTTCTCTTTACATCCTGGCACCAAACAATACCACTGGGTATAGACACCAAACAGGTGCTTCCAACCTCCCTCGAACGAACCCGTGGGCCTCTCCACAGGTCGGTCGCGAACTACCCGAACTACTGAGCCCCCAAAAACCAGGCGCTGATGGCTGCGCTGGCGGCCGGTCCGCGGAACGGAAGAAGGTTTCCAGGTACAGCTGCGGTCCAAGACTGAACGAAGCCGAGCGCCAGGTACGGCTCAAGAAAACCTGGAATACGTTGTCCAGATGAACGCGAACAGAACAGGATCCGGTTCGCAAGGTGCCCACCTGATCTGATGGAAGGAATATGAAAGAATCCAGGCAAAGGGCATCGCTACTAGTATATAGCTAGATGTTACTAGTAGCAAAGTGTCTTACTACTAGTAGCTTGTTACTAGTAAGGCACCTTGCTACTAGTAGGGTCTTTCTGGTGCAAGTCATTCACTTGAGATCCCAGACCCGGAAGAGGCAAGCTCTGTCGACACACGTCCGAAGGGATCGGTGACCAGTGCAGCACCGGGACTCTGATCGTCACCCATTCGGGAGAGGCTGAATCCGCAGTGTCGTCTTCACCCATCACGACTGCGGCTCCTTTACGAAAACACTCTGCCAATGCTGATTTAGTAATCTGCTGATATCGGCCTATGATAAGTGCAACATTCGAAGGTGGATCTGCTAATCATGAGTTTTGACTTTGCGAGCTTCGCGGCAGAACCGTTTCAAAAGCCCATTTTTGAGTGGCATGTGCAGTAAAGTCAGTCACCCACGGGTAACGTAAACCTAATTATCAATGTATATGCTTCTTGTTTGACCTCTGGACATAGTTACCCACGCAGCTAGCAGCTTGTCATAGAGACCTGGTTGTCTGCAGAGAAGATCGAAAAGGCCGGCCATAAAAGGGAGCTTCCTCGGACCGGGCGCCCGTGCAGCAGCTGGCTCCTTAGATGTGCTGCGGGGTCCAGGATTTGGGACGAAAGGAAGCCGTGAGGAACATGGAAATCCGAACCTGCTGAACCCACAAACCACGTCTGGCGGCGAACAGCCGGGTTTCCCACTAGAAACAACATCTGTTCGGAAAACAACCGGGAACCAGGCTCGGATGGTGAGCTGTCTCCCCAATGTAGTGAACAGTATGGACGGCTGGCAAAGACAAAACCCCAACTCGGATTTAACCAAGTGTTCTGAGGCAAAACAAAAAACTATTGTAATGATGACTCTTTTATCTGGATCATCCATGAAAAGCATCACCTTACCGGACTACCCTCCACAGCACTGCTGGTGGGCTTCAATCGAACACCCCTTCAGTGCTCTTGGGATACTTCAGTGCTCTTGGGTCTGAAAAAAAACATAACAAATACATGAAATCCCAGCAAAATCCTGCACTGTCCTACATACAACCTGCTTCCGGGCAAAGCGGGCGGATCGGTTGGTGAGTAGAAAGCCCCAAAAGATCGGAACAGAGCTGAGAGGTCTCATCGCGACTAGTAACAAGTGCTAATACTTCAATTCATTTGCCAATACTTCGACCTGCTTTGCCTGCTTCTTCCAATGATTCTACACCTTCCCAGAACTTTCCAGAACTCCCGGTCTCGGAAATGCCCACCCTCAATCCACACGCCCAATCCAAGGCTCAAGCGTGGCCAGGTCCGGTCCAGGCGGAACTCGAGTGCCCGAGCCTCGCTCTTCCGTGCCAGCTGATAGGGCCACAGGGACACCAGCGCCAGCAGCCAGGTGCCTCGGGCGAGGGGCTGAGAGAGGGACACCGGAGAGGGAGTAGAGCTGGATCACCCAGGCAAAGGCTATGTATGGATCCAAATGTGCCCCTTTTTCTGACCGAAGAAATGGGTGTGTTAGAATAGTGATGGTGAGACTCCAAAAGACCCTTTGGAAGAAGGAACATGATAGACCAAGAACCATCAGACCAGCTGTCTGTTTAAATACACACCCAAATGGTGCATGTCAGCAGCCCCAACCCCTTCTGATGTGTTGAGATGACTGAGATGACTGATTCGGGAATGCTTGATGAGGTGAACGAAGAGAATCCACCATTGATATAAAACTATCCTACCTCCACCCTCTGGAGACCCAGGCCCCTTCCAAATTCCTGTTAAACGCCTCAAGGGTCGAGGGAGGTCATCTGAAAACAAATATCAAAACATCCATCAAATGTTGGGTTGAGGGATGTTGAGGAATGTTGACAGGGATGTTGAGGGTGTGGGTGGATCAAGGAAACTACTGAAACCACTGATCTCATGTGTCTTCAGTACTTCTCTTTCGCAAATGCTTCCATGATCTCAGGCAGATTCTTCAAAAACAACGCTGACTTGGAGCGTGCAGGGTACAGATGTGTACAGCGTCCAGACCTCCAACCACAGTAGTACAGGGGCTCCCGGAAGATGCTTCCTTGCTGTACAGAAATTGCCCTACCATGTCCTGCAAAACAGCTTATGCAAGTCTGCTCATATCGCCAAACTAAAATAAAACTAGGAGCAAGGACGCTACTAGGGGCTCCTGGCCGTACTATTAGGAACAAGAAGCTACTAGGAGCAAAGGGCATCGTTACTATTCTTGGCTTTTGGTGGGTCCAGAGTATGACATCAGGTAGTGCAGCTATACTAGTGCGCTCAGTTGCCAAGACAGTGCGGTTTCTGCCAAGATGAGTGTTTATTATCTTCAGGCAAAGACATTCAGAAACACTCCCAATACTCAAGCAAGGCCATCTAAATATATCTCGATCGGCAGCAGACCCTATCTCGATGCGAGCAAATATCGATCACTTCGGCGGTGGTCGTCGGTCCACCGGTCCACCGGTCCTGACCTTTTTGGAATAGGCGGTGTGTCTCTGTGTCTCCCCTCCGAAAAACAATTCGCCCCCCCCTCCGATGACTTTCTCTTCGTCTACAAAGGACTCTGCTGAATTTCGAGATAAGTGAAACTCTACATCTTCACTTCTGAATGGCGAACCCCAACTTCGCAGTTTTGGCCAATTGTCAGTGAAAAGGGGGTTTTGGAGGCCAAGACTGGATCCAGTTCTTTGGTTCCTCACTCAGAGTGGCGCCTAGGCCCAGCTGAAAGTGGACGTGGAAACTCAAAAGCGCCGTCACCTCGGTCCGAACCCCGTTCCTTGAAACGCCGTGCTTCCCGACACGGAGAGACCGGAGAGACCTTTGGGACGTCGGTGAAGGGGTTGAGTTCGTTTGAAGGACGTCGGCCCGAACCGCTTTGGGCGGGTTTTGACCCAGCGGTTGCCAAGAGAACTGGTCTGGTTTCGTCGGTTTGGGTTCTGGTCTTCCATAGCAACAAAGGATCAAGCCAAACAGCAGGCAACGAAAGGAACAACAAACAAGGAGATTCCATCTATAGGATAGGTACAAAACTAAATGAATGTTGCCAGGAAAGCAGCAGAGACAATCAGAAAGTTGTTTCCGAGTTGCATAAGACCCCCAACCTCAGGAACAAAAAAGCACAACAAGGGGCTCCTGGCATTACTACTAGGAACAAGAATCTAATAGGAGCAAAGGGCATCGCTACTAGTAACAAGTGCCTTACTAGTAGTAACAAGAAGCTACTAGGGGCTCCTGGCCTTACTACTAGGAGCAAGGACGCTACGAACGGAGCAAAGGGCATCGCTACGAACGGAGCAAGGGGACTGATTCTTTCCTCCAACGACTTTTCTGCGCCGACGAAGCTTTCGCATGTACTTCGCCCTCGCAAGCTGTCCGGTGCACACCTTCAGAAAGTTGGTGTGAAACCAATCTGACAAAAGTGTGATTGCCAGGATGGGTTTGCGAGGCTTCCCCGAGCCTCAAGTTTGGGAATGCGACTGTCAAGTGGCAAAACTCAGTTTGGGAATGTCTTGCCTTCCTCGGCCGGGCACCACAAAACAGGGTTGGACCTTGAGCTGCGTAGTGCCAGCTGCATGGTTCTGCTTTATCCTGCTTGGCCAAACGCTCCTCAATGAAGCTACTAGTAGCAGGGGCATCGCTACTAGTAGCTTCTAGCTACTAGTTGCGATGCACCTTGCTAGTGGTAGCCAACTAGCTACTAGTTTCATCCGCACCTTGCATGGTCAACCAAACGTCGCTGTCGCTGCTGTGGCCACTGTCGCTCGCCCGGGCGCCGCACGCAAAGGAAGATACAGGGCGGAGCCACCAAGTGAAGGAAGGCCTGCAGGAGACGAGCCGGAGACAAGGGAAGTTTCATCGGGAGGTTAATTATTGTTGTTGGCTAACGCATTTATACAAATATGTAGCTTGTGCACACCTCAATACACAGATTTCTACGAAATGATGCCTTGCATTGGCTTGCATGTTTAAAGCATGGAGTGAATAACCATTGGTCAAAGTGCAGTGGATCACCCGACTACAGGACCTGAACGCCACCTGGTGATGTCGACAAGCTAATGACCCCATGTCTCCAGAAAACGAAAGAACAGCCTCCTGGGAGACATGTGTTCACCTCGCTGAGAGACCTGAAGAGTCTGGCCATCGCAGCACCAGGGAATACAAAAAAGATCCAGGTCTTCGGCCTTTCTGCGTTGCATCCGTCGTTTCCCGTCCTTTCTCCGGTCGCTCCGACCGCGACCGCGACCGCCTTGTACAGCGGAGACAGGTCCAGGCTACTGCGCTTCATCAACCCCGGCCTCCCGTCGCTGTGGGCAATGCCGCCCGAGCGGCCCGCCCGGTGGCAGGCGTTTAAGCCATTGAACTTAGGTGTTTGTTTGCTTCATTTCCATGTGCTTTCACAAAGCTCTGGGAAGAACTTTGTCTATATATTTAATAATTGTCACGCAGACGTTCTGTGCTACTTCTGAGCTGCCTTGAAGGGTGCAAAACAGCCTTTTGCTGCTACTCTTAGGCCTAGCTTCAATGGACAACAAGAGCCCCTGTTTGTAAACACGCAGCTTGCTAATCAACACTACATCTTTTACCATTGGCATGATAGCTTCAGAAAGCCAAGAAGCCAAACAAGTTATGTATTGGGACTTAGTCTTTCAAAATGCAAATGATTGACTAATTGACTAGTAAAAAAACGTATACTTTTTTGGCCGAAAAAGGCCAATGATTTGGACACTATGTTCATCCTGCTGTGCTGAGACTAGTGCAGGAAAAGATTCTGAAATTGTATGATGGTTTTATTTGTCTATTTGGACTAGTCTGAAAGGCATTGGTTATATTCCTTCTAGGAACCCAGCCGTTTTCATTGCATTTGTGTCCGTTAGCGAGAAGTTTGCGATGCATTGCATGCTGATATGCCGATATGCCTATTTCATATCAGGATTCAAACACATGACACAAGCTCATTACACAAGCACGTCTGTTATTTCCTGGATTTGATTGAACACGTCTGCGGGTGCTTCTCGCAACCGGACCTGTCGGTGGGTCCTCTCCATCCGACCGAGAACTGCCCCCACTCTTCGGGGTTTCGGGTGGATCTTTTGGAGCTGCTGAAATTAATAGCTTCTTGTTACTACTAGTAAGGCACCTGTTACTACTAGCGATGCACTTGTTACTAGTAGTGGTTGGAAGATGTTGGAAGAGTGCCCGATCGCTCCGTTCGGGAGCGTCCTATCGCTCCGTTCGTAGCGATGGCCTTTGCACCCGATCGACCAGACCTGGCCGGACCGAAAGAGCCTTGGAAGGGCCTCGGTGGAGTGATAGAAGCGCCCGGCCTCGGCGATGCAGAGCACACATGTGGCTGTTTAGAAACAGTCCACAACTGGTGGAAGTTGGGGTGAGTGTGGTATTTTGTGAGGGCGGGTGTCATGTTGCTTGTCTTTTGAAAGCATGTTTGGGTGTTCTTCAAAGATCAACTGGTGGAAGTTGTTAAGAATCACATTGCTACCCGAGTGAAAGCACTCTTGGTTTGTGTGGTCGTCTGGCTTGTCGACACACTGAGCATTGAGGTGTCCAACGATGTCCAGCAGGAAATGCGGGAGAAGCGCATCTCGGTGTCCACACTATGCGTCAACGGAATTCGTGGTCCGTTTCCTCATTCACTTCTGGTAAGTAGTACCAGTCCTAACAAAAGATCTAAGCTGTGATTTTGTCCACAGCATCAATGTTGTAAGCACACTCCAAGGTCAAGGTCTGAAACTGTAATTTATGATTATATAGTAGGGCGTTGATGTTGAGCAAAGCCTGACACGTCTTGGAGCCTGACACGTCTTGCACCGGGCCGACGCTCCGGGCCTCCGGGCCATCGCCAGGCCTGGACCGGAGCGGACGTCGAAGGCCTCGGGCCTTGGAGAATCCAAACCCTCAGCCCTTGGTCCATTTTTTGGGGGTCTTGAAGAGTGGAAAAGGTCACATCTGGGAGAACATCAAGAACCAAAACCATCTGTGTAAAGCTGAAAAAACAAAAGAAACATGTTGTTGGGGGAGGAGCTCCAAAAACCCACCTTTATGTTGTGCCTATTATGCCTGGCGACGGGGTCCGACTTGATGCCCATCCGACACCCCGAGCTCCGGATGTCCATCGTCCGACGGTGCGATCTCTGCAGAGATGGCACGATCCACCTAGTAACAAGTGCCTTACTAGTAACAAGAAGCTATTAGAAACCATCAGAAGCAGTTTCTAATAGCTTCTTGTTACTACTAGTAAGGCACTTGTTACTAGTAGCGAGGCACTTGTTTCTACTAGCTTCTTGTTTCTAACTCTTCCTCCAGGGCCCACACGCGACGTCGGGGCGCATCTTTTTCACTCGCCACACCACGTCCGATTCGGCGGTCGGCTGTGCTCGCCGCCCTCGATCGTTCGCAGCAACGCCCGGCATCGGTGGTTCTGTTCCCTCAATTCACAAAATGTTCCCACGAAGGGTGGGGGATTGCCAAATCCACTCCATCTCATGAAGGTTGATAGAGAATGAATATGGTTCGCAAAAAAGGCACAAGGGGCCTCCACCCTTCTTCCCAAGCAAAAATATCACTCCCACCTTGTTGAGCAGAAATCACACGATTTTGCATCAGCCCAAAACGGTGGGATCTCCTCTACGTCAGCAACAGGATGTGTCTCTGCGCGTCCTCACCGCCAACACGATAAGGAGCGAGATCAGAGCGGAGGGATGCTATTTTGGAAGAGCTTCAGTTCAGCCGCCCCTCTTCTCTTTCCAAATCGACTTGATTTTATCCCTCAGCTCAATCGGCTGCAGGTCCAGGAGCATCCTTGGTTCCAAGTGGTGAACAACCTGGGTTTGTTTGATCAAATTCACTGGGAAACCAAATCAAGGGGGGGACATGTCGTTTTTTGTCTCAACATAGCGCACCCAACCGGGAAGCTTTGTCCTAAATCGTTTCAGGGTACTAAACACAGCATCGAAGCATCGTCTACCAGTCACGGATCCAACGCTTTTTCATCGTCGATCGAGTTGACCACCCCTCTCCGGTCGTCGATCGAGTTTCGCACAAACCAAACCAAACCGAAGTATTTCGTCCATCCTCGGGGCCGGACTATCAAAATTGTGTTTGGATCAATAGTTTCTTAGATGTTTCTTGGTCTTCAATAAGAAACGTGTGTTGCTGGACGACGTGCATGATGTACCCGAAAACAACATAAAGCATGTGCTCTGCCTTTCAGTAAGTAATAAGGCGTGGATGATCAGCCAAAATCTGCCGAGCCGCAACAGGGCCCTCGAAGCCCTAGCTTGTGCCTGTTACTATTGGCATCGTTTTAGGATGTTTTAGGCATGTGAGCATTTGACCTGCTAATACTTGAAGCACGCTCGGGCTCATTTGTGTGCGAGCGTTTTTAGTATTGCAAGGTTTTGGGGCATTCAATGACTGATCACTTGGTCTCTCTAGAAGCTTTCTGTAGTGCTATCTTAAGTAAAAAATATCCACCTAAAGCCATCTAGCCAAAAGCCACAACAAGCCGAAAGGCCAGCATAAGCCAAAACCCAAGCCACCAAAAAACTGCCAGAAGGCAAGAAGCCGCCCTTTGAAACAGCAGCGAGACTTCCTAGAAAAAGATTCTCCGTCTAAATTGCACCCGCGAATGGCCCACAAATGGTGGTACTTACTGATCTAAGTGTTAGTTGTTGTCGCCTACCAAGCGGCCAAGGTTGGAATACAGCAGCCAGGTGCCTACGTCAACTTGCAACAAGTAACAAGTGCTCCTCTTGAAATTGTTTCGTGGCCAAGAAAGAAACCCTCTTGCGTGCTGATTTCGTCGTGCGGGGAGGGCACAGTGCCTTCCCCCCGAGCCCAATGGAACCACGGTGAGACCAAGGGATGCGTACCAACGAAAAAGAAGACCAGCGGACAGGGAGGGGATCAGAGTGAACTAAAGGACGAAGGGACCAGGGGATGAGAGGAGGAAGGGGACCAGGATGCTTCATTTTGTAAGATAATGATGTCATGTGTTTGATATACATGTTCTTGAAACAAATCCGTCTTTGTTGTTTAAATAGGTATCTCGGACTGTTCATGTGACTCTGCGATCCATCATCGCCCATAGTTTTCCCACAAAGCTTGGGGTTCAAACCTTCTGGAAGGAAGGACGCTACGAACCGAGCAAAGGGCATCGCTGGTTAGCAGGTGGTTCCTTTCCTTTCTCAACCTCCAGACGAAGCCGGTTCTTCGAGTTGCTGCGCTGCTGTCTTCCCATCCTCGTTCTCCTGGATCATCAACCGTTCAGCCTCATCACCTCGGGACGGTCCAGAAGAGGTGGACGAGAACCGGCGAAAATCGTTTGGCGTTGGTCCCGTTGTTTTGTTTTGGTGTTTGTCTTTTGGTAGCTTTAGATCATAGTGGCCCCCAAGTGCATCAACCAAAAAGCTAGCCCTAAGCGTTGCTCTACTGAAGGAAGCATTCAATGGAAGATACCCAGCTGTTTGCAGGGCGTCCCACCTCGGGTGGTGCACGTGATTGTCCTCCAACATGATCTGAGGAATCTAGAGGGTCAAATTGACCGATCTTCCGAACTCACTCGTGCCTGGAGAAGTGTAATTCTTTAGTGATTTGGTGCTTAGCCTGAGAACGTGTGGAGAGCTGCACACAGCCAGGAGCGAGTCTTTCTACGTCAATATCTTCTGGGACCTGGTAGCACCCAAACACAAAAGTCCAGGCAAAGCAGTACTAGGAGCAAGGACGCTACTAGAGGCTCCTGGCATCGCTACTAGGAGCAAAGACGCTACTAGGGGCTCCTGGCATCGCTACTAGGAGCAAAGACGCTACTGGGGGCTCCTGGCATCGCTACTAGGAGCAAGGACGCTACTAAGCGCTACTAGGAGCAAGGACGCTACTAGAGGCTCCTAGCATCGCTACTAGGAGCAAAGACGCTACTAGGGGCTCCTGGCATCGC